TCCTTTGTGGGTGACCCAACCTTTCTCTCTGGCTGCCCTTAGTATTTTCTCCTTTATTTCAACCTTGTTGAATCTGATGATTATGTGCCTTGGGGTTGCTCGTCTTTCAGAATATCTCTGTGGTGTTTTCTGTATTTCCTGCATTTGAGTGTTGGCCTGTCTTGCTAGGTGGGGGAAATTTTCCTGGATAATGTCCTGCAGAGTATTTTCCAGCTTGGATTCATTCTCTTCATCACATTCTGGTACGCCTATCAAACGTAGGTTAGGTCTCTTCACATAGTCCCACATTTCTTGGAGACCTTGTTCATTCCTTTTTGCGCTTTTTTCTCTGATCTTGGTTTCTCGTTTTATTTCATTGAGTTGATCCTCGACTTCTGATATTCTTTCTTCTGCTTGGTCAATTCGGCTGTTGAAACTTGTGCATGTTTCGCGAAGTTCTCGTATTGTGTTTTTCAGCTCCTTTAATTCATTCATATTCCTCTCTAAGGTATCCATTCTTGTTATCATTTCCTCAAATCATTTTTCCAATCTTTTTTCAAGGTTCTTAGTTTCTTTACATTGATTTAAAACATGTTCTTTTAGCTCACAAAAGTTTCTCATTATCCACCTTCTGAAGTCTAATTCCGTCATTTCGTCACAGTCATTCTCCGTCCAGCTTTGTTCCCTTGCTGGTGAGGAGTTTTGGTCTTTTCTAGGTGGCGAGGTGTTCTGGTTTTGGGTGTTTTCCTCCTTTTTGCGCTGGTTTCTTCCCATCTTTGTGGATTTATCCACCTGTCGTCTGTGTAGTTACTGACTTTTTGATTGGATCTCTGAGTGGACACCCAGATTGTTGATGATGGAGTATTTCTGTTACTTGGTTTTCCTTCTACCAGTCTAGCCCCTTCGCTGTACCACCGCTGAGGTCCACTCCAGGCCCTGCTTGTCTGGGGTGCACCTGTTGCGGCTGCGGAACAGCGAGGGATGCTACCAGTTTCTTTTTCTGCTATCTTTGTCCCAGGATGATATCTGCCGAATGTCAGTCTTATGGTTATAGAGGGGTCAGGTAGTTGCTTGAGGAGACAGTCTGTAGGAGCTCAAGTGCTGATCTGTGAGCTCTGTTGTTCATTCAGGGCTGCTAGGCTGCTATGTTTAGTTCTGCTGCAACCTAACTCGTAAGAAAACCCCTTTTTTTCCTCAGATGCTCTGTCTGGGGGGGGGTTAGGGCTTTCCTTGTGAGTGTCCGCCTCACTGTCCTGCCCAGCTAGGAGGCAGTCTAGTCACTTTTTGCCTGCCGAGGCTGCGCCCTGCTGGTGTGAGGTTCGCCCTTTTCCTGCCGGCTCCGCCCTTCTGCTGTGGTCTCGCCCTGTTGCCTCGGGCTACACCCTGCGGTGGAGTCTCTCTGTTGTACTGGGTTGCCTCAGCAGCGGCAGGCTGTGTCAGCAATGGGCGTGTACCTCAGTAGGGGCTGATTGCCTCAGTAATGGCTGACGCCCCTCCCCCGCGGAGCTGCACTTTAAAAAAAAAACCTATTCACCAGGAGCGTTTGGAATCGCCATTTTGTTTGTCGCACTGCGCTCCCCCAAACGCTGAGTCCCTGGGATTTCCTGGGCTGGGTCACAGTTCAAGACCCGTTCAGTCTCACGTTCAGCCCACTCGGGTCTTAGTTTGCTGGTTCAACAGGGCACCCGTAACAGTGCGCTTTTGTATGGAGCACCGTTCTGTGGGCAACTAAGATCCGTCTGGACATGCTTCCCTGACTTACCCTCTCCGTGTGTCCAGCGAGAGCTTCAATCCTGGGTTGTTCTCACAGCGCCATCTTGAGTCCTCCCCTGTTCTTGAGTATTTCTTTCACTCTTTTGCTGATGCCATTGTTAAAATTAGTGCTGGCACAGCCTTCAAGGCATTTAATATCCTCTCTTATTTATGTGGCTATCCTATTTTTAAAATTTTGTTTACAAAGAAGGTATTAATTATATATGGAGGGGCAATTTCATTATAGAGTTTATTTCTATGGGTTTTCTGGATTTAGTATATTGAGGTATTCCGCAAACTAAAAAGCAAAAGTAATCAAATATCAGAAAGCATTTTAAACCCGTATAGCCTAAACTTAAAAACACATCATTATCTGTAATCCCAGCACTTTGGGAGTCTGTGGCAAGTGAATCACTTGAGGTCATATGTTCAAGAGCATCCTGGCCAATATGGTGAAATGCTGTCTATACTGAAAATACAAAAATTAGCCAGGTGTGGTGGCTTACACCTGTAATCCCAGCTACCTGGAAGGCTGGACACAAAAATCACTTGAACCTGGGAGACAGAAGTTGCAGTGAGTAGAGATTGTGCCACTGCACTCCAGCCTGGGCCACAAAGCGAGATTCTGTCTCCAAAAAAAAAAAAAAAAAAAATCATAATAAGACATTTCTTCTCACTATTAACTGTCTAATTAAATGTAACAGAGTTTATTCTTTCCTTTTTTACTTTAATAGGATGAGTTTTCTGTGACATTGTAATTGTTCCATCATTAGTTTTCATTTCTTAATTATTAAATATAGATTTAGAAGTAATCAAATCTTATATCTGAATCACCTCAAGGTTTTTATACTCCTAATGCACACTCTGTGTTTAATTAAGAACAAAGTCTCAGTTGTCCTATTTACACTCTGTGTTCATTTTCAATACCTCCTATAAAAAGCTTTTCCAGAAGACCTATATTTACAATGTAACTGATAAAGAAATATGAAACATTCAGAAACAAAATCCAGAATGAGGACACTGAAATTGAAGATATAGCTAAAACAATCAAAAGCTGTCAGTTTTCACACCATGAATAATTCTGTTGACTACTAAGATGTATTTTTCATAGTAGTGAATAGAAATAATTTTATCACAAGTATCAGAATGAGCTAAAAAAAAAAAAAGCAATACCTATGCATAACATGTCACTTGTAATAAGGACATCTTTTAATATCAAAACATAATGAAATTATAAATCAGTAATAATCCCCAGCATAATAAAAATTAAATGAGAAATTTAAACCAAGTTGGTTGAAAGTCATCTAAAACCAAAGGATACTTTTGGAAATGTTTCAGTCACCATAAACATTTACATTTTAAAATTACACATTTGTTAAAGAATACTTTCAATAATATGACATTGTATTGGTGATTTTTCTTCAAAGTCATTTAAAAGAATTATTAATTAATTTTAATACCAAAATAAAATACTTCAAAGAAGATATTAAAATCATGTTTTACGTATATAAATATCGAGACACATAAATCAAATAAACTTATCCTGTACATTTGTGCAAATGAATCATGTTGCCTTCATAAAATACAGCTAAAATTGTATGAAAATAATTAAAACATGTTGATAGGTAATGCTATCTTCACATTTTTGTTAAAAAAGTAATTTCACTTTTTTTTTACTCAGCAGTAGTCAGTTAAATTTATGTTAGAGAAGTTATATGATGACTTCCAGATGCCTTCATATTTTATGTTGGTTTATGTATTCTTCAAATAATAATAGACACGCAGGTAACGACTTATTATTAATACTTTAGAACATCAAACGAGAGCAGTATAAAATATATAGTGAAGCAATCTACTCACTGACGATTGAATAAAGAAAATGTGGTATATGCATGCAAGGAAATTCTGCCATTTGTAACAACATGAGTGAACTTGGGACATCATGCCAAGTGAGATAAAACAGACAAATACTACGTAATTCCACTTAAATGAGGAAACTAAAATAGTCAGATTCATGGAAGCAGATATTAGAATGGTGGTTGCCAGAGGCTTGAGGGAAGAGGAAATAAAGACAAAGGGTACAAAGCTTCAGTCATGCAAGATGAGTAAGTCCCAGGTATCTACTGTACGGCATAAGGTATGTATTCAATAATTCTGTATTATACACCTGAAAACTTGCTGAAGGGCAGATCTTATTTTGTGTTCTTATCACCAAATAACAATAAGTAGAAAGGGTGGGAAGAAACTTTTAGAGGTGATGAACACATTTATGGCGTAGACTGTGGTGATCATTTGTTTCACGGATATATACTTATCTCCAAACTTTCAAGGTGCATAGATTAAATATGTACAGCATTTTCTATGTCAATCTTACCTTAATAAAGTGGTTTAAATATATGCATATATATACGTATATACATATGATCAATTATGCTATGTCACAAATAAAATTTGAGCTTGTGAAAGTTGATAAATATTGGAACACTGAAATTATTTTTACTGAATTTAATAATACCACTTAGAATAAATTTAAATTTTGAATTTCAAAACTATATACACACACACACACACACACACACACACACACACTGGGTTCTATTTAATAATTACACAGTCACTTATTGATCAGTGAAAGCATATATAAAATGAAAAACTGATAAAGAAAGACATATAGAGAAACTATATCCTCCCTCTAGTTTTTCTTCCAGGATGTCCTATAACAGCATAGTTTAAGTCACAAAAAACTTTCTTCAAGTTCTGATAGTCCTAAAATATAGGTATAATATGAATAACTCTTCACAAGTAAAAGTAATGATCTCTTATTAAGTCATTTAATCCTAAAATACATGTATCTACAACAATAAAACGTCACATCTTTTAGATAGTTTTTATGTTTTATCTCATGAATGAGATATCAAGTCCTCATATTTCTATGTTTGATATATTCTGTATATCTAAAATATTATTAATTACTCTTGACTTTTTTTATTTTAAAGGAAAATTTTCTTTTACTATAAAATACTACAATCAAAAATATTTCTATTTAGGTAAACTAAGGAATGGCAAATCAGAATATATAGTTCCTAATATATAAAATATAACTCTTTAGGAATACTAACATTTATATTTTTGGTTACATTTTATTGAACAGTTGATTTTTTTTTCAGGCATCAGTTGGTATTTTTAGTCACCTGAAATGATTATATAAGCCTCATGTAACACTAGATCAACCTTTTGCTAAAAGTTTCAAATAATTCAAGTGCACTTACCATGTTCCAGCCAGGATAGAGGTAGTCTGTACCAACAAATTCAAAGTAGTGGGCAAACCCTTCCTTCAGCCACACATCTTCCCACCACACAGGCGTCACGAGGTCACCAAACCACTGCAATAACAAAATTAATGGTCATCAAATAAAATAAAATCTATCCTAAAACTATTTTATCTAAAATTACATCTATTAAACCTTGATTATTATAACTGGAATTCATTCCCCAGTTAATTTTGTGATCTTAAAATGTGTTATGGCAAGACTGTATTGATTTATTTGACTACTTGGGTGACACTAGTTTTTTTATACATGCATTCAGAGAAGAACAAAAAAGAATAATCAATAAACACAAAAGAATATTTGACTTGGAGAAGAAACAGCTCAGGAGAGAAAAACTGATGACAGCTGTCTTCAAATATTTGAAGACCTATTATGTAGAAGAGGAAAGGCTTGTTTCTTGTGACCCTACAAGGGACAAACCAGGACTAGTGAATGGAAATTAGCATGGGTAAATGTCTGCTGAAAATGCAGAAAACCCTCTAACAGACTGAGATGGCCAAAGATGGGAAAACATGCCTTGAAAGATAGTGAGTAGTTCATCACAGGAGGTAAGTAAGCATCACCCTCTAGCGCCAGAGGCAATTCAGAAGACATATTTGCTGATTGATAAAACTAAGGGGTTTTGAGGTCCCTCACACTTAACCCTTATGATTCTATGATAATAAGGATTTAGACCAAAAGAACTCTGTAAGATGCATTCATGAAAAACAATGTAATTTTAACTGGTGTTTTGATTAGATCATGATTTATTACTCTGAAACTTGCTTAGTTCAGGAAAACATTAAAGGAATTCTTTTCTCATTAAAAAGAAAAAAAATATATTATACGCCAGGAGCTACCCTAAAGACAAGATTCAGTGGAGAAAAGTTAGACAACATTTCTCCTCATGCAGCTGACATTTTATTGTAGAGGTAGGGCAGATGAGGGGAGGTATACAATTAGAAAATAAATAAGCAAATGAACAATGTTACTTCAGATACTTAAAACATGCTACAGAAATGGAGGAACTGCTTTAGATTGTAAAAGCAAAAACATTCTCTCTAAGCAAGTGACATTTGAGCACACAGTTTAGTGATAAGGAAGAGCCAGCCATGAGAAAAGCCTGGGAAAGAAAATTCCAGGGAGATGTAATTAACCCTTAATGTGAAGACTCTAAAGGGGAACAAGCTCTTTAAGAAACAGAAGAAAGACCTGTGCAGCTGGAACGTAGTGGACCAGGAAGGGGAAAGTATGGAAGAGTACAGAAAGGCAGACAAGTACCAGATCATGCTGGGCATTAGGAGCCACATTAACAAGCTTGGCTGTCAGTTTCAATAGTAACCGTATAAAGTATCTCTTCTTCAAGAGGATCTCTCATTGAAATACAAATAAAAACAGCTCTCAATATGTTGAGGACCAAAAAGTAAATGTTTAACTTTTTAATAACTATTTAAATTAAAAAAATGCATGTATCTCCTTTAACTTGAAAACCTGTCTTCAGAATTGTGACAACAAATAGGTGAGCAGGGAAGGTAACATAGAAATTAATTGGGCAATGATAATGGAAATTATTTTAAGTGTTTCTACTAACTTCTGGTTCATTACCCCATAGTAAATGGCCTACCAAAAGTAAGATATAACAAGAAAGTAACTTACAATGTGAAACAAATGAAATCCAGTTCTCCAAACAATTATACATTATCAGTGTGCCTTCATTTCAACAGACCTATATATCTAACTTGTCATTTATAGGAGCATTCAAAAAAGGAACTGCTTTTGCCTCAAATAATTATGTGATACTACGTCAAAACCATCCTCTTTAGTACAGACTAGGAGCCCCAGTCATCTCTGCAAAGGATCCCCTTGAGTCTCTGAGGTGAGGAACACACATGAGAGATCCGGCCAGCAAGGCAGGTACAAACATCTTATAGGTTCAATTCAAAAAACTGACATGTAGGGACTGGGCATGGTGGCTCCCGCCTGTAATACCAGCATTTGGGGAGCCCAAGGTGGGTGAATCACCTGAGGTTAGGAGTTTGAGACCAGCCTGGCCAACATGGTGAAACACCCCTGTCTCAACTAAAAATACAAAAAAAAAAAAAAAAAAAAAAAAAAAATCAGCTGGACATGGTTGAGGGCGCCTGTAGCCCCAGCTACTTGGGAGGCTGAGGCAGAAGAATCACTTAAACCTGGGAGGTGAAGATTGCAGTAAGCCGAAGTTTGCAGTGAGCCAAGATCGCACCACTGCACTCCAGCCTGGATGACATAGTGAGACTCAGTTCCAAAAATAAATAAATATATATATAAGCTGACATTTAGGTAAATGATCATCAGAACTGGACCAAGACATCATTAAGTCAGTATTTATTTATTAGCATTTAACGGTTTACCTTCTCTCACTGACAGCATTTTTCACATCACTCTTTCCTTAGTTTTTTTAGCTTTTAAAAAGGTGTAGGGTTTATAATGTATTGAAATCATACTGTATCGCAATGAGATTTCTGGTGTTATAAGTTTAAAGCTATCCATAATTACTGGTTGCCAGGACAGGTATCACTTTCAATCGGCACGAATGTCTATTTTCAGTGATATTTTTCCACTAAAATTAAGATTCAAATAAGCACTGCAAAATCTATCTAATACTTTCCATTCATTGTGAGAAAGTGCATAAAATCAAAATGAAATTAATTTTATCTTAGCTTCACTACAAAGTTGGCTAATTTACATATGAATTTCTAAACATGCCAAGACAAAAAAATATCAATCATTTGAGAACAAAGAGTCTACGGCTGAGTTAGTGAAAGACTTCCTAAGTGTCTATGTAGTGGGAAAAGGGGAATAACAAATTGATTTCCGCAAAAGCAAATTTTGACACGTACACAAAACTCAGCTGCATCTTGCAGTGATGCAATGAATCATTGCCATCGCACACTTACCATATATACACACTAATAATCACAAGAAAATAAAGCAAGGTTGATAACTGACTAAACAAGGGATCCAAAAGGGGTGCTGGGTGGAAGTGCTATCTCACTCCTCAACTAAATGGAATGACAGTTCCCTACTCAATATAATCAGTGTGTTTGTTTTTGTTTCTGCTATGATCTGAGAAAAATGGCATGTCTTCCAGAAAGAACTACATATTGTTCTATATAAAATTAAAACTTAATTGGGAGGATAATAATTTAGCTCTTAATCTAGGTATTCAAAATCATTCTCAATAGCTTGCACATTATACTTACACCTGATTCTTTTTCTCATACCTGGTGACATATCTCATGAACAATGACCATGGTGACATCCAGCAAATAAGAAATAGATGAAACACTGGGATCCAGCAGTATTCTTTGTTCCACAAAAATACTTAGTCCCCAGTTCTCCATAGCAGCATACGGATGCTTAGGCACAGCTAAAAGATCTAGAAATAAAATAAAACAGTTCCAAAGTCTTTAACAAAGACATCAGATTTTGAATTTATATCCTAAAAATGTCCAGAAATCCTAATTGTAAGGAATACTTGATTTTACTTAGTGATTTTTTTTTTTTTTTTTGGCAAATTGAACTACCTGCCATTTCTACATGACAGCAGAAATATAGGCTATCACTGCAAATGCTGGTCACATCCATTCATCACAGTTCATTTTCAAGCCCAGTGTTATAGGTAGCTAGAAGTATCAGTGCCATTATTGATGGGCCCATCCTAGTAAATTTCATAAGTCAAGGAAATCAAATGCAGCAGGAACCTACAGAGTCAAAGGTGTTGTGCCTTCTAATGAAAATATATTCAACTCAATGCAGTAAATACTACTATATTCTTACTTTTACCTCAATATTGTCTAAGAGAAATCATTTTATGTTTTAAAATGTGATGCTATTTTTCTAATTGCTTAAATTCTAGTGTATTTTTTCAGTTGTTTTAAAAGTAATATGTTACATGTAAATATATCTTACAGAGAAAGCTCTGAAAGTGGATATGATGGGAAAAAAAAAACTATTAAAAAACCCACAGGCTCTGGTCTGGCTCTGTCATCATCAACTAGTTAAGCGACATCAGTAAATCACTTAATTTCTTAAGACCACAATTCCCTCACCTATGAAATAAGGTCATTGGCCTTAATTATCTCTAAAATGCCTTTCAGCTTTAAATATCTGTGATTAGATGATTCTAAGATTTGTGCTTATTTTTAAAGGTCATCAGCTTCTGGTTTTGGTGACACAAAGAGTTCATGCTTTGATGTACTCCCTCTGCTCCAGAGACATAGTGATGATAAATAAAATATTAAAAGGGAAAACTAAAGACATCTCCAGGCTCAAAAGTAAACCTCTCCCTGGACCAGAATTGGTACAGACACGCAAAGTGGTAATTGCATGTGAAGCCACAGGCCTGCTAGGCACTGGCTCCAGAAGCAGGCAGTGGCGGTTGGGAATTGACTCTGGCAGATCCTTCCAGAGCCAAAAGGACCTAAGCCAAGGTGACTACTTAACGCCAGGGACTGAGGTAGGGCACACATGCTCATGAAAACAGGTTGAAAATAGCTGGGACTCATTGCTTCCTGGGAAAGCTAGTAAGTGGCAGGGTAAGAATTTGAACCCAGCAGCCCAGTTCAGCACCTGTGCTTTTAATCACAATGCCAAACATAGTGTTTGCGGTCTCTGACCTGGCAGTTCTACTTCTCCATATAACCCTGGAGTAACTCCCTATGATGCAACAGAAAATTATACAAGAATGTTCACTATAGCATTGTTCGTACAAGTGAAAAGGGAAAATTAAGTGCTTTTAAGCACAGTCAAGGACAAAGAAAGAAAGAAATAGGTATATAAAGAAATATTACACAGCAATCAGAACAATGGATGTCACCACTAGATTCTCACACTACATGCATCCACAGGGACACTCCGAGAAAGACAATGTCAAGGAAATAAGTGAAGAGTAAAACGACCCTAAAGTAACATCCACTACTTAAAAACAAGTAGAATAACAAATAACACCATGTGTTATAAATGGATACACATACACAAACACATGCACACACACAATAATGGCAAAATGCACACATAAAACACACACACATAGCAGTGATAAACATTAATGTCAAGATCATGTTTCCTTCATGGAAGAAAGGAGGGGAAAAGGATGGAAGACAGTTACACAGTGAATTAAATAGTGACGTTTTAAATAATAATATTTCATTGTTGGTGATAGGTATGTGGGTACTGATTATAATATTACTGATTCTTTTCCATGTGCTTTAAATATTTCAAAATAAGAAAAAGAATAAAATAGTCAACAGTCTTATACTAAGGTTGATTCCTCTTTATTCCTGACTTTAACAAATATCTTCTCAGCATTGGTTGTGTTTTTCTTTTCTTTTTTCATTTTTTTCAAGATGGAATCTTGCTCTGCCACCCAGGCTGGAGTGCAGTGGCATGATCTCATGATCTCATCTCACTGCAACCTCTGCCTCCCAAGTTCAAGGGATTCTCCTGCCTCAGCTTCTCAAGCACCTGGGACTATAGGCATGCACCACCATGCACACTTAAGTTTTGTATTTTTAGTGGAGATGGGTTTTCACCATATTGGCCAGGCTTGTCTCAAACTCCTGACCTCGTGATTTAACCACCTCGGCCTCCCAAAGTGCTGGACTTACAGGCATGAGCCACCACACCAGGCCAGTTGTGGTCTTAAGTCTGAAATGTATATTAAAATAAGTCAAATATGAGCTGTATGTTCCACTACATTTTAAACTAAACATGAGGCGCTAACAGCTATAACACACACAAAAAGGAAATATGAGCCAGTAATTGAAGATTTAAGAGTGCTATGAGAGAGAAAAAGCAAATCTGATTGGGGAGGTTTTCAAAGAGATGATACTTAAGTTGGACTTCAAAGGTAAATAGGATGTCAATGGGCAGAAAAAGGTAATCTATGAATTCACACATAGAACAGATACTCATTGAGTACCTCCTTTGCTCAATATAGACATTGTTTTGGTCTGTCTTGCAAGCTCCTTGCTCTCTGCCATCATGGTGCTTATATTCATATGTGAGTATGTGCAGGAGGTCAATTAACAAGTAATAAATGAATGAGAAAATTAGTACATGATAACTGCTGCAAAGAAAATGTAACAGAGTAAGACAGTGATTGATCGGTGGGGTGGGTGTGGTGTGGTTAAGACACTCCTCTCTAAGGTACTCACATTTCATCTGAAATGTGAATAATGGTAGAAGCTAGTTTGTTTGAAATCAGAAGTGCATTCTAAGGACAACAAATGCAAAGGCCGTAAGGTGAAAATGAGACAAGTATGCTGGACAAAGAAAGATAATGTGGCTGAAATATATAAAGAGGAGGAACAAGGATCAGAGAACTGGTATGAACTGTAAGTTTATAACAAATAAATATTTTTACATATGATTTTATCTTGACACCTTATTTAAATATGAACAAACCAGACAACAGGACCACAGTATGTCAACTTTTTCACCAATAGATGGCAACAGCAATAGCAGGTCTGGTGTCATTTACTTGTAGGAACATGTGACTAATGAACAAGCCTTCTGACCTAAGCCTGTGACAAAGGAGAGGCAATTCTGTAAGCTGTAGTCCCCCAGGAGCCAAGAGTAGCCAGTCCTCAAGGCTAAGTGAACATACAGAAGCTACACGGTGGGATTTGGATTGGCTCAAATAGCACAGAAAGAAGACTCCACACATATGAATCAGATGCAGTCTGGGAGTTTCAAATGAAGAGAAAGGTAGACTTGGGAGCAGTTGTCAGATAGCAAAAGTCTGACTAACACATAAGCAGGTATGGTATAGAAATTGGAGGTTCGTGACAAAGACATCAAGCATTGGTGACCTAAACAGGCAGTTGGTTACATACTAGTTGGTATCCAGAGGTATGAGGTCACAAAAGTCAGGCCTGAGTAACAAGATTACAGGTCAACCAAACAAGGACTCTTCAGCAAATGAAGCCAGAGTCAAATTAAATAGAGTATATCACAGATCAGTAGTAGGGGACAGCTACTTGGACACACACAAGTTTTATAATAAGGAACCGTGTTTATAGATGGCAGAGTAGGGAAAAAACAAAGAAAACATTGTATGCTACTAACCTTATAACAGAGTATTGAAGAAACTTAGATTTTGTTGAAGCAACTGTGGAGAAGTATTCTTAATCGTGCCTCTGCTTTATGTTTTCACAGCTTAAGTAATCTTATATGATAGGTTTATAATTAAAAAGCACCTACATCAAGCATATATTCACACAAACATTTATACACAAATATTTATAAAAGCCTTATTTCCAGTAGCTACAAACTAGGAACAACTCAAATCTCTGTCAATAGGTGAATAAAGTATAGTGTATCTGTGAAAGAAAATACTACTCAGTATCAAAAAGAAATGAACTATAGTAACAGTCCAAAACATGGCTGAATCTCAAAATGGTTATATGGAGTAAAAAAGAAGAAAGCATATCTACTGTATGATTCATGCCAATTATATAAAATTCCAGAAAATGCAAACCAATCGATAGTGTCAGAAAGCAACTCAGAGGTTGCGGGGGGACAAAGATGGGAGGGGTTAGAAGATAGGACAGGAGACTTTTGGAAGTGATGAATATGATTATGGTGATAATTTCCTATGTGTATATATGTGTTAAGGCACCAAATTATATACTTTAAATATGGACAGTTTATTATAAATCACTGCACCTGAATGAAGATATTAAAAAAATACCAAGCTCAGTAATGAAAATATTATTTCTTTTGTATATTTAAGGCAGGTGACATGAATTCAAAATGAATGAAATTATTTTAATTTTTGCAAAAAAATTTGTTGTGAGGCTATATCCATTAAAATGTACACCCATAACTCTTTCATATCACTTAAAAACAGAAGTAAGAAAATTCAAATATTTCAGAATCTAATTTACTTGGAAATCCAAAGAAAATCTTGATAAATTGATGCATAGTAGTCTACTTCCAATTAATAGTATAGTACAAAAAACTATAGACAGATAGGAAATAATTCATATAATACTAGTGAATGTGATGACATAAATTAACATAAAAATCTGACTTGCTCTATTGTTTGCCTCCTACTCACCCTCAATGCACTATAATTTGCCTTCTATTCTTAACACTATCCTAAAACAGCTCTGAATAAGTAAATTCACAACATCTCACGGATACTTCTCAAATTTCATCTTTTTTGGCATTGCTGAGAATTATCATATGGTAGACTAGTGTTTATAATAACAGAATATCCATGTTTTTTCTCCACTTCTCAGATTAGCCCTTCTTGTTATTGTTTTTTGTTTTGTTTTTTCATTTTCTTGCCATCCTCTGACTTTTGAAAATCAACATTTCCAGGATTTACATCTGTGGCTTCCGTATTGTTTGATTTTACACACTGCTATG